ACATGTATACACCCACACCCCCCAAAGGTATATATATATATCTATATATATATATATCTATATATATATATATCTATATATATATCTTTTAAAAACCTAAAAATAAAGGGAGGGCAAAAACCTGCTAGGAGATGGAGTCAAGAAGGAACCAGAAATGGGGATGATATAACACACAAAGTGGGATTTAATGCTGAACTTGGCCATTAGAATAGGATTTTATCCATGGTCAAAAAGCAACATAAATGAGAATAAATAATTTTGAATCCAGAGGCACCTAATATACTTGGAAAACCAAGATAATTTTTTTTTTTTTTTGTCTTTTTGAGACGGGGTCTCACTATGCAGTTCAGGATGGCCTTGTGCTCACTTTGTAGCCCAGGCTGGTCTCGAACTCACAATGATCCTCCTGCCTCAGCCTCCCAAGTGCTGAGATTACAGCCCTGTACCACCACACCTGGCAAACAAAATCATCTTGATGAAAACACATTTTCCTAAATCGTAACTCCAGAATGGGACACCGAATCAGGAAAGTCAAGTGTGTATGATTAACACCTAAACATACTTAAAAAACAGTGCTTAGTCTGTAAAGAGTGTCTGGTATTATTCCTGTTATTAATTCTGTATGATCCTATTTTAACCACCTATGATGGCAGGCTTGTCACATGGCACATGACTATATTACCTTGTAGAACACAAGGCAACTTTTTGCTTTTGGGAGGTGAGGGTAAGGGCAGCTGATGCCGGAGGGAGAGGGAAACCAAACCAAAACAGACAGGACAATAGCTATTAGATTTATACCAAATCACATGCATGCTTGAGATAAAAAATATTTAAGAAAAAAATTTTTTTCTTTTTGTTTTTTTTGTTTTGGTTTTTCTCCAGTACCGGGAACCGAACTCACGACCTTGCGCTTGCCAGGCAGGCACTTTTTGCCGCTGAGCTAAATCCCCAGCCCCTAAGAACAATTTTTAAAGAAAACACAATAATTTCTAACAGTGTTTTTATGTGTTTGGTACTGGGATTGAACCCAGGCTCTTCACAGTGAAGACCCAGCCCTTTTTACTTTTGAGACAGAGTTCCGGATTGGGCTAGAACTTGTGATCCCCCTGCCCCAGCCTTTCAAAGTGCTGGGATTATAGGCCCGTGTCACTATGCCTGGCTTTATAACAAAATTCGAAAAGCAGGGACAAGCTGATTATGGATGGTGTGGGAAGCATGACCAACACAGAGAATCCCTGTAGAGAAGGCCGGATCCTGGCAGCAGAGGGAAGATGGGACATTCCTCAACACACACAACACACACACTGAAAAACTCCATGTAACGTGTGCCGAATGCCCCTCTCAGTGCCCACCACCTTCAGATGACCCAGATCTGTGGTATCCCTGCCTCGGGCCGGGCTGGGTGACTTTACATGCAGGCAAGCCTCAGTTAGCTAAACGGGGCTTAGTCACTCATCAACACTGAGGGGTACAAAAGCCAGGGCCTTGTCTTGTGAGCCCTGTTAGCTGTGTGTGCTCAGCTCCCCGGCTGCACCCAAGAGCTTAGCGACCGCATCAGTACACCTCACCCAGGGACCCATGGGGATCCTACAACTTCTGTCTCCAAGCACTCGGCCCACCTGTCCCTCTACTTCTGGACGTATTCTGAGGTGCTCCCAGAACCCCTCCCCTCCATGGACACAGTCCGTGGGCTGTGGCCTCTTTACCAGTCATCAGTGGCTCTTTCTTGGTTCCTCCCCACTGCAGTCTCTCTGGAGGCCTCATGGGCCAGCCTCGTGGCTCCTCTGTGACTTCAGAAGGTTGCTACCTCCTGAAGGCGCCTCTCCTTCCCCTCTCCTGTCTCCTTTTTATGATGCTACCCTTGCAGCAGTTTTGCAAGGTCTGGTAGAAATTCACCCCCGTCCTGAATACAACCCTCTCATCCCCTTCTTTTCCTGCCTTGCTGTTCCGTTTTCGGGGTCTCGCCCGGAGGACCCCTCTCCCTTGCTACGCCCTGCAGACACCCCTGCCCCGCAGCCCGTCACCATTTCCGGGGCCCGGGGGCGGGGGGATTGGAGGCGCCCTCCTCCTTGACAACTGCCAGCCGCCCTCTATCCTGCCGGCTCTTCGCAACCTTTTTGCGCGCAGGAGCGGCCGTGCCACGGGAGGCGACACTCGTTACTTGCCACCCAGACCCCACTCTCCTCGCTTCGCAAAGCACCAGCTTCCCCGACTCTGCACGCTGGTCTCCCCCGCCTACCTCGTGCCCTACACGAGCAGAAGCCGGTGCCCAGGCCACTCCCGCACCCCAAAGCCTGCGCCTCGGCGCGAGTCTCTGTGAGGCCCTGGACAGGCCCCTTAGTGCCTCCTTGGCGATCCTGTGTGCAACATTTGCCCTCTGGAAGAACCCTACCAAGGCCCGGCAACCTGACTCGACTCCCGGTCGGGGACAGCAAGCAAGTTGCTAGTAGACTGACATCCAGACTGAGCTCGTGGTAAAGCCGCGGCAGCCGGGAAACTGGACGACAGCGGGGCACTACATGTCCCGGCATGCACTGCTCCCGGAAGGATGCTTCCTCTGGCCCCGCCCCGGAAGATAAGGCGGCTCGTGGACGCAAAGTTTCCTCTTTCGGCCGTGCTCTGGAACGGGTAGGTTGTATGTGCGGCGCCGCGGCCTTGGGAGCATCCCCTGCCATCTGCCTCTCCTGGCCACCATGGGGCTAGCCGTGGACCTCAGCGACTCTGCTGAGATGGCACAGGCGCGCGGTGTGGAATGGGGCTTGGGGAACGGCCGGGATGGGGGAGCGGGCGACCTTTGGGGCGGGTCCCGGGAATCCGGGCCGGCGGGGCTCTCCTGCCTGATGCAGACGTTGAGCTTCCCCTAGACCCGCCGTCATGGGTCGCGTGATCCGTGGACAGAGGAAGGGTGCTGGTTCTGTATTTCGCGCGCACGTGAAGCATCGCAAAGGCGCTGCTCGCCTACGCGCTGTGGACTTCGCAGAGCGACATGGCTACATTAAAGGCATCGTGAAGGTGCGAGGAGCCAGCCAGGGCGGGTGGGGAGGGCAGGGCGTCCCGCCACGGCCCCGTGCTAACAGGTGGATGATGTCCTGATGACCCGCAGGACATTATCCACGATCCGGGTCGCGGCGCACCCCTCGCTAAGGTCGTCTTCCGGGATCCGTACCGATTCAAGAAGCGTACGGAGCTGTTCATCGCCGCCGAAGGCATCCACACGGGCCAGTTTGTGTATTGCGGCAAAAAGGGTGAGCCTTGCAGTCGGGAAGGAAGGGCGGTGGGCGGGAAGGGGTGTTCAAAGAGCACACAGTCTGCCTGGGTAAGAACTCCCTGGGCAGAAATCTTCATGGGGAGATCCGCGTGGCTGGAGGAGTACTCCATTCGGGCTCCCAGGAATTTGTTTGGTATCTTCCTCGCCTTTTGCTGGACTGTTCAGTGTGGGTCCATGTTGCCATTGATTGCACTGACCGTCTGGTGCCACTTTCTCTGGCAGCCCAGCTCAACATTGGCAATGTTCTCCCTGTGGGCACCATGCCTGAGGGTACCATCGTGTGCTGCCTGGAGGAGAAGCCTGGGGACCGGGGCAAGCTGGCCCGAGCCTCTGGGAACTATGCCACAGTCATTTCCCACAATCCTGAAACCAAGAAGACCAGAGTGAAGCTGCCCTCGGGTTCCAAGAAAGTCATCTCCTCTGCCAACAGAGCTGTTGTTGGTGAGTGCCGTGCCACGGTGAAGGCTGAAGACTGGGTGATCAGACTAAGCTGCAACAAATTGTCAGCTGGCAGTTCTGGGCCCTGGAACTGGATGGATTGCTCTGTAAATTTGAACACAGTCTGAAGTCTATAAAGCTGGCAGGATAATTGAATAGGTTAACTTTTCAGCCAGAACAGGGGAAGACATTTGTGACTTTCTCAAAAAAAAGTCTTATCAAGTGGTTGATTCTGTTGTTGAGCAACACCATAGAGTCTTTCCTAAATCCATTCCTGCACAAGGTTTATTCTGAGGGTGTGTTCACAGACTAAGCGGGCCTGTGGTACAGTGTGCCTGATCAGTTCTGGGAGTTTTAACACACCAGTTGTGTGTGTCGCAAACATAGTGATAAAGGTGGCTTGCTTACCTGGGAAATTGAGCTTAGCCAACATTGTTCATGATGGGGGTGAGAACCTTGGCTTGTTTGCCCTGTGAAGCTTGAAGAAACCTGATGACAGCGCACAGGGTGAAAGGGTTTATTGGGTGGAGGCTGGTGGGCTTCTGGTGGTGGCTGTTGAAATACTCTGGCCCTCTACCAAGATTAAGTTGTGATTAGTACACTCAGCAAGGTATGTTCTTACCGGAGGTGGTTCTGTGCACGTCTGAGGAGTGTCCTCTTCTTTACAGGTGTAGTAGCTGGTGGTGGCAGAATTGATAAACCTATCTTGAAGGCTGGCAGAGCCTACCACAAGTACAAGGCAAAGAGGAACTGCTGGCCACGTGTACGTGGTGTGGCCATGAATGTAAGTAGCCCAGAAAATAAGTGAGTGGGGTATTCTGGGTGCAGTGGCTCTATGGGTGGGTTACCTAGCCCTCCAGGGATGTTGGCCTTCTACCCCTGTGGTAGGGCCATCTGCAATGGGAGTAGCACTGGGTGGTTTATACTGAGACTTGATCCTGCCCCAAAGCAGCTGGAATTACCCCTGTTGTAACACCATCTTCTTCTGCCTGTAGCCTGTGGAGCATCCCTTTGGAGGTGGTAACCACCAGCACATCGGCAAACCCTCAACCATCCGCAGAGATGCCCCTGCAGGGCGCAAAGTGGGTCTTATTGCTGCTCGCAGGACTGGGCGACTCCGTGGAACCAAGACTGTGCAGGAGAAAGAGAACTAGAGCAGAGGGGCTCAATAAAGTTTGTCTTCGGACTGGCTGGCAACATCTTTCTTCAAATGATGGGGGCATCTCTGATCTCAGTTCTTTGTGGAGTTTCCAGCTGGTGTATTCAGCCACAGGTGCCAACATGATGGGGTCTGTTCTGCCCAGGGATCTTGAGGTGTGGGAGGAATGATCTGGCCTGATCACTTCCTGTAGGTTACCAAGAGCAAAGTGTAACTACACTGGCTTCATTCCATGGCTTGAAGGTTGTCACTTCTACAGTGGAGGGATCTAGGCACCTTTCCCTCAGCTATGCCTTATGCCCTAGCACTGGTTTCTGTGTCCTGATGGTGAGTTTGAGGTGGGCAGTTCTTGCTGTCATGCAGGGATCTGTTCCCAGGTCCCTGTACAATAGCAATGCTGACCCTTAAAGATGTTTGCAGTTCTTTTCTGTGTCCCAGATCATCTCAGATCTTTTCTACCTAAATAGGGCCCTAGGCTGGATGGTAAAGAGCTGGTATGTGGCCCTTCCAGGTGGGGACACAAAAGGCCACTAGAAATAAAGACTTGAAACTTAACATTTATTGATACATTTTTGAGAACTTGGACAATGTTGGCAAGGGTGTTTGGGGCCTGACTTTTTTTTTTCATGTACAGTGGTGTTGCTGAGAAGCAACAAATTAGAGACATCAGGAAAATAACCTGCAGTGGGAAGATGTGGTTCCCACCACAAGGCAAAGCAAGTCGGCTTGTTTGACCTGTCCATATCATGGTGTTGACCATATGCTGAGGAGCATAAATACCAGACCAGGTAGCCCTCTTCTACCAGTTGGAGCAGGACCTGCAGATGACACTTACATAGCACAGTGGGGTCACTGTGGTTGGTAGGATGCTCCCTAGGCATCTTAGGATGTTTTAGCTGCGCAGATGTAGGCAGGGACCTTTTACTTGCAGGAGGACTTTGCTGTGGCTGATAGTGGCTTGCTATTTAGTGCAAGCCTGCCTTCTGGTTTTTGCTATAGTCTGGGTACTACCTGCCCCTGGTGCCCACCACACTTGCTGGGCAGGGACCTCTTTCATGTGGGTGGACCTAAGGGTCCCCCAGGTTAACAGGTGGTTTCTTTTTTTTCGGTACTGGAAATTGAACTCGCGATCTTGTACTTTCCAGGCAGGTACTGTGCCGCTGAGCTAAGTCCCCAGCCCCAACAGGCGGTTTTTAAAGGAGGGGCATCTGAAAGGAGGAAGGTGTTGGAAATCACTAAGATATTGTTCAGTTCCTGCAAAGTGGAACCTAGATCAAGGGAGGTTGATCCTCCCTGAGGGAGGGCTTCCTTCAGGAGCAGTTCCTGTTAAGTTTGAGTGGATGCTGGGCCCACGAAAGGAAGTTAGGGGTGGAGGCAGTGTGGTAATCACTGAAACAGGCAGGCTACTTTCCTGTACCCTGATCTTCTGGCTCTTTAGGAGGAAGTGTTTACCATAAAAAATACTGTGCCGGCCTGGAGTGCACCCCTAATCCCAGCACTTTAGAGATGCAAATACAGACCTAACCTGGGACATCAAGTGAACCTGTCTCAAAAAGAGGGTTGGGAAGATGCATCTCACTGCAAAGGATTTGGTACCGCACAAAAGAATTGTATAAACTGCTAGACATTGACTTGGTCAGGAATACCCTGGCTACTTACCTAGGCTTTCAAGCCTCTGGGTCATTCTAGACTTGCCATGCAGCCTCGCCCAATTCCTGGACTACCAACGTCCACGGAGCTGGATAACGAGACGGCGCGGTGAACGGCCTTGCTTCCCAGAGCGGCACCTAAGGCCCGTAGGCGGGCGGATTCTATGACGTCACTTCCAGCTTAGTCTTGATTGGCAGCCAGTGAGGTCGGGTGCGGACCGCTGCTGCTCAGCGGCGCTGAGGTGAGTGTGGATCTTGCAGCGCGCGTATCCTGCGGGCTACCTTCCTGGTTTCCCGTTTCTCCCGGGGCTGGGGGCCGAGTTGGCTTCGCCACACTGGAGACCCTGACAGGCTCTTTTCTCCAGTAGTTCCCCTCGCGTTCACCTGTCCTGAGGTCGACCCCTTATTGTACCCCTCGGGGTCAGCGTGCTTCTGGTCCCCCGTAGGTTAGCTCCTGCATCGGGGAGTCCCTGATTTCTTCCAGGCAACCCCTCCGCTCGCCCCCCTCACCACCCCTGTGCGACCCGCTTTTGTCCCCTCTGTCTTCTCCCTCTCCTTACCCCTTGCATCGCGTCCCCTCCCACCGCCAGCCATCCTGTGCTCTGGGGCCCTCCAAGGCTTTTCTCCCCATGCAGCCAAATTTTTTATTCCCTTTTTCAGCGTTGTCTGAAGCGTTTATGTTTGTCCCCATCGTCTTGTGTTTTTTTTTTTTTTTTTCTTTCTTTCTCTTTTTGTCTTTTTGAGATACTTTGTAGTCCAGGCTGGTCTTGAACTTGCAACGATCCTCCAGCCTCAGCCTCCCTAGTGCTGGGATTATAGACATGCGCCACCACACCTCGTCTGGTGGATTTTGGGGGTTTTTTTGTTATTGTTTGTTTTTTGTTTTTCTTCCGGTATCAGGAATCGAACTCAGGACCTTGCGCTTGCCTGGCAGGCGCTGTGCCCCTGAGCTAAATGCCCAGCCCCTCGTCTTGTGGTTTTTACTCTATATTTTAAAATATTTTCTAGAAAACTAAAATAAAAGCAAGTACAGAAAATGAAACAACAAAACAAAACAAAAAAACAGCAACTGGGATTTGCTAGTTCTGATTTTGCCTAATTTGTTCAGGACTTTTTTTCTTTCTTTTTAAAGAAAACATTATTAAATTAAACCTCACTTAGGTACAAGGCACCAGTCCCATCCGTTTCCTCAGAGACATCCCTATTCTGACCAATATCTTTTCAGCCCAATTTTTTTGTGTACACACCTACATATACTATAGACATTCTGTATCTGACCATGTTATTTTAACCTTATAACTTTGTGCTATCTACTTGGCATTGATAGAGTTCATTTTTTGTGTTTGTTTGTTTCTTTTTTTTTTTTGAGATAGGGTCTCACGTAGTCCAGGCTGGTCTTCAACTCAAGATCTTCTTGCCTCAGCCTTCCAAGGGCTGGGATTACAGGCGTGTGCCATCATGTCTAGCCTAATGTAGTTCATTTCTTTTAACCACTATGATCTTGTCCATTGCCACTGACACACATTAAGGATGTTTGCTTGTATGCAGGCAGGTGGTGACATCCTTGAATGCATTGGCAGGTTTTTCTATAGAGCGCATACTGAAAATGAGGTCTGATGAGAGGCCTGAATGGTTTTAGTTCCACCAGGTAGTGTAGGACAGATTTCTTTTTGGGCGGGAGGGGGGTGGTTACTGGGAATGAAACTCAGGACCTCACGCTTGTCAGGCAGACACTGTGCCACTGAGCTGTATCCCTGGCCCTAAGACAGATTTCAAAAAAAGACACATTTCCAGAACTTGGTCAGTTTATTCTCCTAAACGTCCAGAGTATTTGGTATTGTAAAACATTATGTATTTTCCCAGCCTATGGGGAAAGAAGTTTGTTTTACTGATTCTGTAATTCTTTATGTCTTTTCCTTAAATTTAAAAAATATTTTCTGTGTATTTATCCTCTGTTACATATGCTTGCAAATGTCTTTTCACTTTGCAGCTTGTTCTTTTTTTGTCTTTTTGAGTCAGGTTTCGCTATGCAGTCCAGGCTGGCCTTGAGCTCACTTTGTAGCCTAGGCTGGCTTTGAATTTGCAACAATCTTCCTGCCTCAGCCTCCCGAGTGCTGGGATTATAGGCATGCGCCACCACATTCAGCTGATGCTGTTAATTTTTTATCTGAACCCTGGATTGAGACTCTTGAATTTTCTGTGTAGATAATTTTATTCTCAAATATTAAAATTACTTCATTTGAAATTTAATGATATTTAGTAATATTAAAATAATATTATTTATTCTCAAATAATGGCACTTTTGTCTTTTCTTCTCCAACCCTTTTAGCTTGTATTTCCTTTCTCTGAGACTTTCTGCACTGGCTCAGATATTGAGTAGCATCACACAGAGTGAGAGTCCCTGTCTGGTCACTGCCTCTCCTGCAGGTGCTTCTGCGATGTCCTTTCAGTGTTGGAATGAACATAGGTTGACGGCACGGGATGTCACTCTGAGAACTACTGCTGTAGAGTGTCTTATTTGATGTCTTGTTGTTGTTTTTCCTAATAGTATTTACTTTTCCATCTTTTTCGTCCTTTGATTGGACTTGCCATACATTTGTGTATTATATTAGCATTTTCAAAGAATCATTGTTGAGAGTTGTATTTCTTCAGAATTTGCTAAAACTTTTTGGGGTGGTGTTTTTTTGAGATATTCAATGTGTATGTTGAAATAAGTATGTATCCTGTGTTAAAAGTATGAGATTCTCTACTTGGCCCATTCATTTCTGAGAGAAGTATGTACAATATCTCATTTCACAGGAGGGTTTGCCAGTTCCTCTTGGGTGGATACATGTATGTGTAATTAACATAGCTTTTTAGTGGAATTTTTCATTTATCTCTAGTATGTTTTTGTTCTGACTAATGATTTTTGCTTTCAATTCTGTTTTTTTTTGTTGTTGTTGTTGTTGTTGTTGTTGTTTTTGTTTTTGAGACAGGGTCTTGCTATGCAGTTCAGGCTGGCCTTAACTCACTTTATAGCCCAGGCTGACCTCGAACTCTCAATGATCCTCCTGCCTCAGCCTCCTGGGTGCTGGGATTACAATGTGCGCCACCACTCCCAGCTTCAGTTCTGTTTTGGTTGATATAAATCAGTGATGGCAAACATTTTAAAGCTTTCAATGATACAAACAGCCTTCTGCAGTATGCATGCCATAGGTTCGCTACCACTTGTGTGAACATAGCTAACCGCATGCAACACACTGAGGGGAAGAAGCCAGGTGCAGAAGGATAGACACTGTGATTTGCTTCAGTTCATCACAGAACAGGTGATTTAGAGTGTGAAGATGATGGAAGCCTGCGGGGCTGATTAGAGTGACTAGGACCCAGAGACATCAGGCAGCAGGTCTTTTCTTGACCTGATGCTGATTCTGCATGTGGGGCAGTTTGTGATTGTCCATCAAGCTGTGTACATGGGACTCGTCAACTTTGCAATATACACTTCCTATTTCAACAGCTTTGGACTACGTAGTGAGACCCTGTCTCACCAACCTGGCTCCCCCTTCTGCATCCCAGACTGCTTGGTGCTGCCATAAGCAGCCCTACCTGCAGTCCAGGGCTCCTGCCCATCCCTGCCGGGCACTTTTAGGTGTAGACTCTGCTCCTCCCTGGGGCTCCTGCCCAACCCCACTTCCACTGCCCATATCGACATCTCCTCAGCCTCCTGCCCTTCTCCTTGGCTCACTAAGTTGTCTCATTCAGGACAGGAACAATACTTATTTACTTTA